CTCGATCACGATCACGGTCCCTATCGCGTTCACGCTCCCTATCACGATCACGCTCTCTATCATGGTCATGATCACGCTCACGATCACCATCTTGAACCTTGGACTTCTTCTGGCGAACTTCCACAGCATCTTTTTCATCCCTTGCATTCTTCTCACTAGACTTACTATTAGCATGATCTCTAGCTGGTCGCTCATCTCTCAATTTATCATCTCGGTACTTGTCATCGCGGTCCATGTCTTCTCGATACTTGTCTCTGTATCTCTCATCCTTGTGCTTCTCATCTTTTGTTCTTCCATCCTTGCCAGTTTCATTCCTTAATGATACTTGTCTATCTAGAATGTCTCCATTATCTTCCTGATGCTTATCCACATCACCAGAATCATCTCTCCTTTTCCTAAGTCGTCTCTCAAGCTGGCTCTCAGATTCAGGACTTAGCAAACGATCCGGTACATCCAACTCTGGAATTACAGATTAAAAATGTAAAGAAGAATCTCAGTATGAACAAGTAATACATAATTAGGATTTCCAACACAACAAAAGTATACATTAAACAAGAAATCATTAGGCAATAATTACAATTCACTTGATGAAAGTGGCAGACTTTTAGTGCTTCAGTACACGAAAATTCAAATAAATAACTAATCACTAGATGTCAATATGAATATGTAATCAACTATTTACATACACAAACTAAAAAAAACTCTCAGAAGTTAAATTTTCATTTCAGCCAACAACTCTTATCATAAAAATTCTACCTCCAAAAATCCCACTTGAAAATGAACATACAGTTTATGAATTCTCGCAAAAAGAAGAAATGAACCTAGGAAATGCACAGATACGTAACAATATACCTACCAGAGCACAGACTGCATACAACTATAACACTAAAAATGTACAGCAATCCAAAGCTTAATAGGCAATTTAAAAGAGAGAGAGAGAGAGAGAAGAACACAAGCTAAACATTAGAATTCATAAAGCATAGCCAAATAAGACTTACACAGTCTACTAAAAGCTAATAATCACTTTAAATCTTTGTACAACCAGACAAAAGCAGAAGAATCAAAATCCTGATGTGTCTTGACGTAACACTGATATTGGTTGAGACAAAGCATCAAAATCCAGCATTCTATATAAGTCTGAAACAGACGTCAGCTCACCATAATGACTGAAAGAACATCTCCAGGCCAAAACAAAAGTGGCTACCGTACGCTCATCATGAGATGACTTACCATGACAGCTCACCAGAGATGGAACATTCTTTCATTATCAGCTGAAGATCTAGATGGTGTATTTTTTCCCAAATGTTAATTAATACAGTACTGCTAGTAAGAAGTTAGCACCTCCCATCATTATTTATTAACCTTCAAAACCCCCTTCAAATTCCAATAAACCATTTATTTATAATTTTTTATTGAAAGCATTTGTTGATAATGACAAACACATTTATTGGAAATACCATCATCAACACAATAAACTTCTTTATTACCTTCCAAGCCATTCAAGCCTAAACTACTAAGGATATAATCAGGTCTTTGGGATTTATATGTACCTAGGAATCATTGCATTCCAATTGCATACTCAAACCACATTAGCTAAACCAATCTCCTAACATAAGTTGGGAAATTAATTTTGTATCACTTAGAAAAAAACACATATAAATGCATTTCTAGACGTGTACAGAAAAGCATGGCAACTTGAAGTTTCACCTGGTAAATTCTTGTTACATATACATTAGCCTCTTATCACAAACAGTAAACATATATGGAAAAATACTCTTAAAATAACATTTTGATGCTAAGAGAAAATTAAATATTGGAAAATCTACTTAAATTTTTCAAATGTTGATACCTTTCAAGCCAATAACCTGAAACAGAACCAGCAAACAGGAAAATACACCCCTGAAGACTAACAAACAATTTCAATTTAATATTGAAGATAAAAATTGAAAAAGATATGCAACCTAATTGCCCTACAAGTGGTCCATATGCCATTGCTCTCTGGTCGCAAAAACACGGTGCACATCAGTGCACAAAAGAATAATGCATCCAGTTTCATGGTCAGGCATTAGCTGCCTTCTAACAATAATACAGACTGGAGGAAAAACAAAACAATGATCACACCTTCAAAAACTAATCTGTAGAAACAATCTTCTCCCATTAATCTCAACTACATCAGGTACTCTTTAAATTCCTCAACCCTACTTCTCATCCCAGCAAACGATAACATATGCTTCTATTGTTTGTCTCGTGCATCAAATAAAGTGCCTAAATCAGCTACCTCTTAATGCTTAAATTATGTGGTTGGAATTTACACTTGCTCATACAATGAATCCCGTGTTAATCTCTTAAACATATATAAATAAAATCAACTTAACATGTGTTAATCTCTTAAACATATATAAATAAAATCAACTTAACATCCTTTCTGAGGGTCAAAAATGTTTATTATCATTATAATATAAAACCATGGAAGTATTCCTAAGACATTAATTAAGATTTGCTTTCTTCAGAAATTTATTATATTGAAAGTTAGCACTATTTGCAATTACAAATTTACTCTTTCTACTGATTATCATCAGAATGAGTGATCATTAATTACAAAGGCAAAACGATTCCCAAGATCCTTTGAAAATATGTACAGTCCTACTCAATGACCAACTTATAAGGTGTCTTCAACAGAAATTTTAAGATACTAGCAGAGAAAAAGTCTAAGAAACAAAACACAGTATAACAGCATCCTATCACTCAACAACCATCAGGCCACTTTTTGCATGATGATTAGTTTCATCAGGTGACACTGACAGTCGTTACAAGGTGAACTAATGCAATTCCATTGCCATGGCCAAGTTAGATTACTATCGTGAGGGTGCAATGCTATAACAAGCATATGTGAAAAGTGGAGCTTCATCGTGAAATCCCAAAAACTCAAAAGTACATATACAACTACTAGCTTAAATCACTAAGAATATGTGAGGAAACTCTGCAACATGAACTTATGAATATACCAGTACATAAATTGAAACCAAATGCACAAGAAAGTCAGTAGTAAAGCTATCAGTTGAATCAGTTTAAAAAAAACAATAGTTGAATCAGTTTATTAGGAAAAAACAATTAAAATGCACATATATAATTGCAACTATCCAACCAACAAACAATAAGTTACCTTACCAGTTTTCTCAGCAGATTGTTTTACAGTTCGATGTTCTTCACTCTCAATCAACCTATCACTCTTGCTTTCTTTACCTTTCTTCTCTCTCTCCCTTTCCTCCTTTCTACTGGACTCTCGATGCTTCCCCTCACTCTTACTCTTTTTTGCATCATCTCCTTCCACCTCCTCTCGTCTCTTACTCTTTGATTCGCTAGAAGCTTTCGACTTCTTCTCTCCTCTACCATCATCCTCACCACCATTCCACCTGTCGCTGACTCCATCATCTGCCTTATCCTTGCGCCGCTTTAAGGAACTGTACTCCTCCACATACTCGCCGTTCCCCGAACTCCAGAAGTCTTTACTGGTCTCCTTCGTGTCAAGCTTTCTCTTCTCAGAAGATCCCGACTCCTTGGAAACCCTACCACTGCTCTCCTCCTTAGTCTTCTTTTCCTTCTCCTTTAAGCCCGAATCTTTCTCCGAATCTGAGTAGTCCCTAGCATCCCTAGAACTATGCTTGCTTGATTTGTGCCTTGAACTTCGCGGCATCACCGACGCCAACTATGAGAACCCAAAAAAACCCTGACCGGAAAACGAAAGTAAAATAAAACAAAACAAAAAAGTCTCCGAATCAAAAATGAAACCCTAATCTAAAATCAACATACAATATAAAGAAACCCTAATCTCGAATCTTCAAAGAGTAAAACTATCGTCAATTCTCGAAACGGACGTCAAATTGATACTGAAAACCCTAATTGCCTAGAATAGGAGTGAAGGCGGTGGAAACCCTAACGGGGAAGGAGAGGACACGATGGACGGAGAGAATAGATCACAGGAGTGGAGGCGGGGCCGGTTGGGAGAATGGGATCGAAAATGAGGGAAATTACAAGGGAGGCCAGGGGGAGAGATTTTTGGGGGCTTGAAGAAGGAAGATAGAGGCCGTTTTGGGGATAAATGTGGAAGAACATGTGATTTTGAAGAAAGATGAAAAGAGGTGCGCTTTTGTGTTTAAAGGGCTTATTTTTTTTCTTTTCTCTTTCTTTTTTTCCATTTTTGGTTTTTTCTGTTTTTCCCCTTTTATTTTATCCGAGTTAATAAGACTTTAGGTAGACTTAGGAGTAATTTTGTCAACCTGACGGGATTGCCCCTTGAGATTTACTTGTATTACGGTCTTGTCCTAGCCCAGGCTGGGTGCAGTTTTTCCGGTTAAATTAATCTCTAATCATCACATCAATGTAATAATCTGTTTAATTGCGGTTACTTACAGGATCCAATAAAAGAACGACACGTTAGTCACCAAGAATCGAGCTATTAAGTGTTTTAGATATCACCAGAAGCGACGTGAACTTGATCGATCACGGTATGCCAAACCTGAAAGAGAAACAGCTTTTTAGGGTCAGAAGAGTCTGATAGGTTGGTACCCACCGAACGAGGGCTGCTTGTTCGGTTGATTCGGGTACAGGGGAGTAGCCAAAAACCTTCACCTAAAAATATATAAAAAAGTGGGAGAAAGCTTCCAGGCTCCGGTACTTGTGGTCTTTGTCGCAGTGGTCAGTGGACCGGTCACACCGCCAATCGCTGTGCTGCTTGTAACTTCACTACTTTCAACTCTTTTTCATTCCTAAACTTTGGGATTCATTCAAAAGAGTTTAGCTCTTTCTCTCACTTCCATTTTCACATTAATTTTCTAAGGTTTGTGATAGTAATTAACGTGTTAATTTGAGCGAACATGATAATATTCCCGCACTATTTGAGGGGTATAAAGCTAAATAGAGCACACACTATTCAGTTTTATCCATTCATTTTCCAGTACTATATAATATATACCACCTGAGTATCAGTATCACTTACTTAGCATGGTCTCATTTCTAGTACTGTTACTATATTTTATCAAATTTTAAATTGATTGCATTAAGTTAAAAGCACAAATCTCGATCCCTAAGTATACATCATTACCTAACACAGTATTGCCTGTGATAAGAAAAATTAAAACCAGAGGAAGGAACAACTTGAAGGAATTGATTATAATATCAAAATTTAGCATCACACTGTGTGCATCGAGATTAATTAATGATTAACGAAATATCATCATCACGATACTTGATTTAAATGTGCAAGGCCAAAAAAAAAATGATTTAGTATAGAGTTGTAGAGTTCTGCTACGTGATTCATCAGGATAATGGTTGGTAAATTTTTTTTTTATACAATGTAGGTTAGTCAGACATCCTTGTCAATGAATTTTGGGCGATTTTCTATAATTTTTGGGGGAGTTAAAAAAATATTCTCATGATGTTAAATTTTTTTTAAAAAAAATCAGCAATCCTTTTTCAAATTATGATCCTCGTTTTAGATTGATCACAACTTATTATTATGTTAGAAATTTCGTGGTAAGAATTGGTCATGCCATGTTGGTCATGTTCATCATGAGACAAATTTTTGTGTTAATTGATTCCCTAATTATATAAAATAATGTTTAGTGAAATTAAATAGTTATTGCTTAATGACATTATTAACATATGTTTATCAAGATTAATTAATTATTGGTGGGATATCTCAATGTCTTATATTAAAATAAAGAGAGGAGTAAACTTCACCTATACTTTTTGTGATTTTAATATTTTTCATATGGTATCTTATAGTTTTTATTCTTAATTGGCACTATGTGGATTTTTTTTTCTCAATTAGCACTTTAGGATAAGTTTTATTTTCATGAGAGTTAAGTTATTAATTTTGCTTAATAAAATTACCAAAATACCTGCATTTCAAATTTTTTGTGAAGATTACCTTAAATTCAAAATTAATTTATTTATTCTCAATTAAGAGTATTTTCTATAATTTTATGGGTAAATTAATAGCCTAATCTCTTATGGAAACAAAAATTACATACAGGAAGTTAATTGAGAAAAAAATATATTCATAAGATGCTAATTAAAAAAATAAAAGCACATGATGCTATGTAAAAAAGTTGAAACTAGCTTTAAAAAAAAAAGTTGAAACTAAAAGAATTGTTAGTGAAATTTACCCAAAAAGAATTTCATTTATCTTAATTGCCATAATGTTGTCAATAAAACTTTTTCTTATAATAAATAAAATGAAGTAAAAAAAAAAGCATAATATCTAAAAAAAATCAATTTAGTTCTTATTTTTTATTGCATTCAAATTTCAAATAAGTTTTGAATTATTATTTTGAGTTAAATAAACATCTTTCACTAACCATTAACTAATGAAAATTAGTTAATGATATAATTAATAATTTTTATGCCACATCATTTGTCACATGACTTATTGATATATTATATTAATAACGTCAATATCACTTGACATAAAAATTACTGATTAAAAATTAAACGTTTTCCTTTTTATCCATCCACATGTTCAAAAATTATTAGTTATAAATTTAAAAAAATAAAAATAAAAAATCTCTGATTACTTCAAATTGATTACCATTTTCTCAATTGAAGCCATTATTCCTAACAATGACTTCAATCAAACCAAAAAAATTGGATTAGGTTTTTTGTTAAAAATAAATACTTCAATTAAGAATCTGGCAATTAGTTAATAAACCATAGTCAGTTTGAAGCATTTAAGTTTTTTTTTTTATTTTTTGTTTCAAATTCATAACTAATAATTTTTTGACATTTGGATAGATAAAAAGAAAAAAATATAATTCTTATTTAGTAATTTTTTATATCACCTCATCTGTCAATGTAGCACGTCATCAAATGACGTGGCATAAAAAAATTATTAACATGTCACCAAATGTCATTAAGATGACACATTAATATGTCATTTGACAAATGACGTGGCATAAAAAAATTATTAACATGTACCGTTAACTAAAGAAAATTAGTCAACAAATAATGAAAAAAGTTTATTTGATTCAAAATAAAACTTAAAAGATTTATTTAAATGTAATAAAAAGATAGAGGTTAAATTGGCTTTCTTGGTGTAGTTTAAGGATTTATTTGGGTTTTTAACATATTTAAAAAACCCCTAAACTATTTTAAAAAATTTAAATAAACTATTATATTTTTATTACGTTCAATTAAATACTTATACTTTTATTTTGAGTTAAGTAAGTCTTTGTATTTTTATTTTTAATCAAATAAGTCAGTTGATTTAATTAAAATATCGTTTGTCATTTTATGTCACGTGTTGTTGATATGACATTGGCTTAACATATTAACATATTATAATAAATGATAACGTGACATATTTATGTGACATGATGACATGATCATATCGTATTTTTCTTCTTTCATGTCAATATTACATTAATACCACGAGAGTATAAAATGACAAATAGATATTTTGATAATGATAAATAATCAACCATTAATTATAAAAATTTTATTAATCTATAATAAATGTATAGGAATTTAATTAAACATAATAATAAAAAAAATTTATTTAATTTTTCTTAAACATTATGCTAAAAATTAAAGATAAACATACACAATATATATATACACACACGTCTTCATCTATTTTATCTATTGATTTATGTCAACCAAAATGACAATGCAAAATTTTTTTTATTATGAAAAATTACAATTAGAGATATCAGATACAAGTGTTTTTTTAAAAAATTGTTCATTATTTCAAACTATAACAAACATTTTTTGGAGAATAATTCAATATTGTAAATTTAAATTGTATAAAAAAATTAATTGGGTTGAATCATATTACAAGGTTGACCTCACATTTCTATGAGTTTAATTTAGAGCGAGATAAGCCTTCACTCGTGAATCTTAACTTGTTTACAAAACATATATTAAAGTTACAGATTAATTTCCTAATAAATCAATGCATCGTGTCATGGTCTATGCGTGAACGTCAATTTTACATTGTCGAGATAATACTTTCAACAAGTATAGTCATAAAGTTACACATTAAATAGAAACTCTTAACGAGAAATAACGAAGAATGTCATGATCCTAAAGAAGGGAGCTATGAATCTCTCATTAGTTATGTACTAAGATGATACTGAAAATATAAAAGTTTACATTATTTTTAACTTGTGAGGTGCATTTTTGGAATAAGACTATAAAATTAACAGTTCAAAGCGAATAGTATTGATGTGGACCATAACAATTAGTATAAGAGTAAATTATGAATACGTGCTACTGAAGACAATGGGCTCATCGAGATAATGCTTTTAGAGAGTACAATCACAAAGTCTCACATTATATGCAAATAATATTTGACAAGAATTGGTGTGTATCGTGATAATTAATATCAAAGCAAACTCTGAGCACGTGTCATCAAAGACAATGGACCTCACAAAGTCCCATATTGATTAAATGCAAATAGTATCTGTTGATATGGATGATGATAATTGGTATTAGAGTAATAAGTATGTACTATTGGGGAAAGTGAGCTATTATTAGAGTAAAAATAAATGTTATGTGAATCTTAAATTATCGAGGTAATGTTCTCAGTAATGAGTTACAAAATTTTATGTTGAAGAGAAATTATCAATTAAGAGTAAAAGAATAAGATGTCATGATTTAAAAAAAAGAGCATCTTTTATGAGATTAAAATTTAATAAATAATACTTCACAGAGATTTTGATGTGAATTCTTACACACCGCTTTAAAATAAAAATTTGTTAGTGTGTCGGTTGCATACGTAAAGAACCTATTAGAAAATTCGAAAAACATTTAAAAAGAAAAAGAAAATTCTAAAATAGATCACATGCGAGAATTAGGAACGAAAGCGCTGACGTGGCAGCAGGCGAGTCCATGAACCGGATGATACCGGGAAAAACCAACTGGAGAGAAGCAAGAGGAAACGTAGCGAGACGGCAAAAGATATTTGCAGGGGTACCGGACGTAGACATGAGTAAAACTTATGGCACAACGATTCAAGCGTACTCTCTCACGCAACTGACACGCGCTCCGTTCTCCTTATACTGATACCAATTCTCTCTTTCAATTCAAAATCCACAATTCCTCTCACGTTCTCTGGTAAGTCCTCCAATTTTCATTGTTTTCTTCTACCAGTTTCATTTCTTCAAAATAATTTCGTATCTAAATGAATTTAATTACCTTGTGCTCCCTGGAATGGAACTGATCTCTTTTCTTTAATTCATTGAAGTTTTATATTTGGCGATGACCGAGTAAAATGGATAAGTGTTAGCTTAGATGAATTGAAGTGTAAAGGTTTGTTTGTCTGCAGAAGAATTTTGAAATATAGAGAAGGAAAAATGTTGGAATTGGCTACTTTAAGAGGCTAAATGGAGCTTAACACTCTGTTTGGCTGGAAAGAAAAGAAACGTAGTACGGAGGCTTAGCGTTGTAATGGTCCAGCTTTGTCTTACAATCAATTGAAAATTTGAATTTATTTCCAGCAACTGATACGTATGCACATTATTATTGAGTAGATCCAACTGATTAAAATTATCAGTTTCAACTGTTTCAGCAATCTCTGGAGCCACTATCTTCTGATTGTTGCCTTATTGCTGTTTTGTAGAGTGTAGAGGTTTGATCAATGGCACTATGTGGATTTTCAATGAATCCAAGTCTAGAAAGTGTTGAAGTATGGCATTTTAATGGTAATTTGTTGAAAACGCTGATTAGGCCTAGTTGCCTACGTCTCAATCGGAAGTCACCTTGCTCTGCTAGGAGACAATTTCAGGAAGTAAGGTGCTCATCCTTCAGAAAAGCCGTATCGCCAATGGAATCAGAAGAGAATGCTCCAACTGGTACACCAATTTCTGGTGAAGATGAATCAGAGCATGTGACAAGGTTCAAGATGTCTGATTTTAAGGTTCTTGATCGTGTCAGCGTTGGCCTTGCTGGCCGGGTATGAAACATATATTGATGCTTATGGTTTGTTTTCGGGTGTCTTGGTGTAAGTTTAAATTTATTGTCAATTGATGGGCTTCTTGTAGGCAGATGAGGTGGTTTTTGAAGCTGTAGTGAAGGATTCTGGAAGGTTGGTCTTGCTTAATTTAGTAATGACTTGTAATATGATGATACAATCTTAACATGTGGTGCTAATGAAGCTGCAGCCCTTTGTATAACTCAAGAGTTGTGCTTCGACGACTTACTAGTGCTCGAGCTCAGCGTAGGGGAAGGCGAGCGATAGAGGTCTGTGAACTGTGCATCAAACCATGTGCTGTTTTTTTTCCACAGCTCAATCTCATTATGACATGATGCCTTTTATTTGAATATATTACAGGTGTTGAAAAAGCTTGTTCATCGTAGAATCCTCTACCATTCTTATTCCATGCAAGTTTATGGTTGCATCTCGTCACATACAAGTGGTGCCCAAAGCTCATTCACTCTGGTCCATGGGGTATGCTCCCTCTAAATGATGGTTTCTTTTAGTACTACTCTTTTTTATTCATATATCTTGCATCATCTATCCGAGCTCCCTCTCTGAATGTGTTGTTTTGCCTTGGAGGCCTATGTTTCTGTACCAACCAAGTTCCTTCCATACTTCTTTCGAGTAGATTGAGACTACGTTGCATCTTTTGGCAGTACCACGGTAGCTTTTCATTAAGACATTGGCTTCAACAATCTGACTGGCTTCCAACTTTAGAAGCAACTCTTGCATTGGATGAAGAGTCTGTTAGGAGGGTGGGAGATGACTCAGTTGGGGGACCTGCAGTTACTCGACAGTTGCGGCTTATTAGAATATTGATGAGGGACCTCTTAATTGGAGTATGTTTCTAACTTCTATAGTCATAAATTCTTGTATCTCATAATTCTCAAAGGTTGTCATAAATTCATAATCCCATATATCTCATAGTGTGGACTTATGTTGCTTTTGCTGATTACCTTTTTCAGGTAAATTACTTGCACAGCCATGGGATTGCACATACGGAGTTAAGGCTGGAAAATGTGCATATAAGCCCTGTTGATAGACATATTAAGGTATTTACCAATTTTCTTTATGATAATTGAGGAGGATTGGCACTGTGTTTAATGGGGATATATGGGATTCTAGTTCTGCTTGGCACGATATGGCATAGTTCTATTCTTTTATCTGCTGTCGTTCTTCTTTCAACTGTATAACTTTAAAACTGACCTTATCAGGTGGGAATACTGGGAAATGCTGCTGACTTCTATGATGATGGTCCCAATGGAAGTGCACTTGATGGCAATATGGATAGGAGGCAAATGATGATTGCATTCGATATGAGGTATGGTGAAAATAAAAAACAACTGTTCAATTAACATCTGAAACATCATCTCGAAGCTCATTAAGTTGCATGTCTTACAAAGGTGTGTTGGATTTATGATGGCAAAGATGGTGTTAAGAGAACTTATGGATCCCCTAATATTTGCAAAGCTCAAATCTTTCCTTATGAAGGTATAGCAAGTGACTCTTGCTGTTTAACTCAATCTTTTATCACACAATGCAAGAAGTAACTATCTGTCAGCAATATTTTGTGTTGGGTTATACTCATACAGACTATAGTAGTATACATAAAAGATCAGATCTTTTTTTGAATCTAAGCTGCATTTAATTGATACTATAATCATCTGCTAGATATCATGAGTTAGCTGCCATGTTTGGGCAAATTGTATGCATGAAGAGTTTCCTTGCTAACAGCTGAGATATGATTATTTGGGTACCTTTCAAAAGATCATCTCACGATATGTCAATATTGAAGTTACTCCTCTTATGATTCTATAGAACTTTAATGTAGCCATAAATTTTTTGATAAAATGGGTTTTCTTTTGCTCTGTAACATTTAAAATTCAACTGATTGAATCTCATGTCATCTCTAATCATATTTTCCTAATGTGATATTACAGGGAAATGATCCCTCATGCTTGCGTGAATTTCTTCTGCCAATACTCACTAGGAACTCCCCAAATGGAAATGTTGGACTCCAGGTAGGTCCTTTTACTTGAACACAAAATTACACTTTGCTGTCTGTAAGGGTCTTTTAGCAAAATTATCTATCTTGCAGATACTTGATAGAAACTGGGGTGCAGGTTGGAACCTTCTGTCCTTGTTGCTTGCAGTCAGACCTTCTAAAAGAATAAGGTATGCTCTTAAATTTATGTGAGCGATTCTTTTTTTTGTATTTTATTTTTTTCTGTTTGAATGCCAGAGAATGCCATTGGAAAAGTAATCTAGGTTTCTCTATATAGCCTTCAGAAATGCTGAAAAGTAGAATTCAAATTTGCATTACATGAAACCTTTTTACAATTTTTTTCAATCCAAAATTTGCAAACTCCAAGTTTTGTAGATAGGTATTTAACAATCTGGAGAGGTTGATGTATTGGTTTTGCAGTTTCTTCTTTTTCCTTTTAAATTCATTCTGATAATGTAGAACTCAAAATATTGAAATAAATGTCATGTCAATTTTAGACATTAAAGTAATTATTCAGGTTTGTACATCAATGTTTAGTGCTTTATGAGCTTCTTGATGCTGGTAAGTAATACAACAATGATTTCAATATTCTGTGTAGTTGCTTAGATGCTCTTAGGCATCCATTTTTGTGTGGACCGAGATGGCGGGTGTCCCCATCCATGGATATTATCAGATGGGGTCTTGGGTCCACGGCAGTGAGAATCACAGAGGAGTATATCTATCGCCAATCTCAGGTAATTATATACTTTCTGTTGCTGAATGATGGGATATTCAATTTTGTCAGGTTAGATAATATAGTACTGTTTGTTTTAAAGCTAAAGCAAATAAGATGGAATACTTCCATATCAGGAAATATGCTGTATCCTTGGAACACTTTACACTATTTGAATCCATGTTTCCCATTCATTTATTTGAAATTTGGATAGGTGAGCTAACTCATTGTTTTTCATATTTTTAGAGTGGTAGGCTAGCCCATTTTATTGAATTAATGGAGATGTTGAATCCTCATTCAAGGCCAAAGGTGATTCCTCTTCTCACTCTCTCAATTGTGTATTTTTGGTTTTTTGGGCCAATGTTTAGATGCTCATTTTTATTCTTAAAGTTAAAAGTATTTCGTAATGTTTGACATTGTGAATGAAGGCTTTTCACATTCATTATTCCATTGCAATTGCTAAGAGGTGAAAACCTTAACCCTGATCCCCTTCCGCCACCCCAAAAAAAACAAAATTAATATTAATCGATGAAGCTTATGCTAATATGCTGTTGTTATTAATCTTTATTTGGAATATGCAGAACTGGCTGGAGTTGTTGCCAGGGAAATGGCGTCTATTATACTCTACTGGGAGGCACATAGGTTTAACTCTTCGCCAACCTCCAGTCCGCATCCTCATTGGTGATGCACACCTAACAATTGTAAAAGCTTCTAAGTTAAACACAAGCCTATCTATCGTGTCCGAAATTGGTTTTACAGTCATGATGGGACAGGATTGGCCCCATGACAAAAGCGGTATCAGTGGGAAATTGCAAGTGAACTCTTTGTCTAGTTTAAAAGCTGGGAGGCGATTATATCTTAAGGAAAAGGCCACGGAAGGATTCTCTTTGAGACAATCAAACTCTGAGGACTCCTTAGTTGGGAAACTATCTAGTAGAAAATGGAGAAAAGCAATACCCCTCAAGGAGTTCCCATCAAGTCTTCCTGTTGCTAAACTCCTTCCAGATGATATCGAGGTGTCAATGAGTCTCAATGACCCATTGACACAGAATGTTGATGTTGCAAGAAACATAGTTCAGGAAATTCGGACACAGGTTCCCCCTGAAATGTTTGAATTGTCAAATCTTGTGTGTGGAACATATGTTGACTCAAGGATGCTTGTCCTCCGTAGTGTAAATGGCTCAGCACTCATATTTACTAGGTCTTGTGCAGATGAAAGATGTGCATAACAATAATATTAGATTTTAACTGTTTATTGAACTGGTACAGTTTAGTTAAAAGTAATTGAAAACCAACTTCAGTTTGAAAATAAGACAGTGCCTTGTTAGAATGTTATATAGTTACCTCTTTGTATGAGTAGGTTTCAACAAGGCAAAGCAGAGGCTAACAAACCCTAAGCCAAATTTAGGTTGGTGTAGATCATTGGTCTACTATGACACATATTTTTGTTAATATATCTATTGAATTACATTAACGCTATAACAGTTGTGGTTATGTTGCTCTAGTGACTTTTTATTATGATAATGGAGATATAAAGTGTAATGAGTAATGCTAATTCTTAACTATAATGATTGTTGTCTACAATGATTATGGAGTAAAGTTGTACATTAAAAATATGTCAATATTAATTTTTTTTTATAAATTTTATTTTTTTAATATCTCGTGACATATCTGCATGATATATCTAAGACTCGTACTATTGAAACCTTATTGTAGACAAACCCCGTCATAAATTGGTGGCTAGCAACAAACATGAAAATAGGTTATCACAACCAGACAACTGGCAAATGAGTACTCTGTCGGGAAATGATATATTTTGACTAAGAACCGCTTGTAACCTACAGAAATTCAACAATTTCAAGGGGACTGCACCAATATATTATCATAAGTTACTTTGCCCTTTTTTTAATTCGTGTTTTCATGCCATACAAAATTTGAGAAATTCATGCACGCGTTACATTACACCATCTGCCCAACTGAAAAAAAAGTGCAGCCTACATATAGTCGCCCCATACAACGGCTAACTCACAAAACAAGAACGGGAAGAACAAAAAATACAGCAGCAGAACCTTGACTTCCGCTACCCATCCCAGCTTCTATTCCCCAGGGTTGCCAAGGTTGTGGCCCTGTCAGTACGAAAAGGATTATATAGTTATCAGGGAAATCATGATTGGTAATCAAGACAATGTGTCTAGCGGAGGCACGCATGTGAAACACTCTTCTCTTAAACTCAAGGAGGGCTTCTCAAGAGAAACGCCTTTAAATCAGTCCCTGCCGCTGCAGATCAGTATATGTCTTCTTGTTATAGATGTTCCCCTCTTTGTCTTCATATTCTTCTTCAAGATCTGGGCGCCACTTGTTTAGTCCTTGCCGTTCTTGTATCTTCCCCCACAATTCTTGTGCTTCCTGTGAAATTTGAATGTTTATGCTACATGTTAATATTTATCAAGAGAACAAAAAAGGGTTCCGTAACTACAGCCCTTGTGAAAACTTGTTGCAGTTATCTAGATGCATGTCACCATTACTTACCGTCACAGGCCAGAAGCCATCAATTCTTTTCTTTTTATTTACCAAAATAAAAAATAAAATAGACAAGGCATGTATGAAAAAGAATTATTGCTTTGATAAAGTGGCAAATGCTAGCTATCTTTTGCTCGAGGTGGATAATATGGCACTAGTTGTGAAAACCAATGCACACAAGCTCAATCATGAAAGAAACACATGTAGGCAGATGAAGCAGAAAGAACATGTCACTGCACCAGATCTGAAAAAACATT